GACAACCACGCCCACCCGCTGCTGAAGCCGTCCGCGAGGGCCAAGCACCCGCTGCTGGCCATCGCCACGGAGGCCTCGGGCGACGCCCTGGCGTCCACCTTCTCGTCGCTCGCGCACGTCCGGGCCGTGGGCCAGCTCTCGCGCGTCCTCGGGTGCGAGCCGACCTGGGATGCTGTGCGCGAGGCCATCGCGGCCAGGTGGGAGGGCGACATGGAGGGCTGGACGAGGCGGTGCCTTGCGGGGATCCACACCGTGCTCGTGGACGACGGGCTGGACGGGGACGACGCGCTGCCTTACGGCTTCTTTGACGGGGTGACGCCGGGTGCAAGCAAGAGGATCGTCAGGATCGAGTTCGTGGTGCCCGGCTTCATCGAGGAGGCCTGTGCCGAGTTTGGGAGTGACAGTGCTGCCGCGTGGGGGCGGTTCGTCCAGCGGCTGAGGGACTACATTGACGACGCCCTGAGGGACCGCGAGGTCGTGGGGTTCAAGTCGGTCATCTGCTACCGCACGGGGCTCGCCATCCCGCGGGACGCCGACGAGGAGACGGCTCTACGGGTGTTTGAGGGGATTCACAGGGCGAGGACGGCACCGGGGGCCGCGGCGTTCAAGAGGATAGACCACCCTGGCCTCAACGAGTTCATCGTCCACACGCTGGCGGCCGCGATCCAGGCGTGGCAGGGCGGGTTCCGCAAGCCCATACAGTTCCACACGGGGCTGGGCGACAGCGACATCACGCTCACCAAGTCGTCGCCCGCCCACATGCAGCGGTTCATCGAGGCGTACCCGGACGTGCCGTTCGTCCTGCTGCACTCCGGGTACCCCTTCACGCGGGAGCTCGGGTACCTGGCGGCCATGTACAGCAACGCCTACGCGGACATCGGGGAGGTTTTCCCCTTCCTGAGCCGGGACGGCCAGGTGGGCGTCGTCCGCCAGATCCTCGAGCTGTGCCCGGGCGAGAAGATCCTGTGGAGCACAGACGGGCACTGGTTCCCCGAGACGTACTTCCTCGCCGTCGAGCAGGTCCGCGAGGTGCTGGACGCGGTGCTCCAGGACTACGTGCAAAAGGGGGACCTGACGCTGGGGCAGGCGATTCGTCTCACGGAGGATGTGTTCTACAACAACTCTAATAAGCTGTATTCACTGGGCCTTGAGGAGGTGCGGAGGGAGACGGGTGAAGCTACCAACGTAGGGTTGGACGATGAGGGTAGTGAGCGGTCACTCGCCCTGCTCTCCCGCCATCTGGAGGGAGATGAGCCGCCCAGGTTCTTGGGGATCTACTGGAACGATATGACGGCCACGGCTAGGATGCGAGCCGTCCCCATCAGACGGGTGCTGTCGATGCTTTCCAGCGGGGAGGAGCTATCATTCGGTGTTACGAAAGCCGGCCTGGGTCTAACACAGCTCGATACGCCTGCCGAGGGGGTGTCGCCCTCTGGAGAATACAGGCTGCATCCGGATCTGGGAACACTACGTGCTGGTCCGAAGAAGGGATACCTCTCCGCTCGGGGTGTATTCAAAGAGAGCGACGGTTCCGCGGTGGCTCTCTGCCCTCGCACGGCACTTATAAAAGCCCTGGACACCGCTAGGGCCTACGGTTTAACATTCACACTGGGCTTCGAGATCGAGCTCATCCTCATGAAGGTGGGCGAAAAGGGGGACACCCTCGAACCGCTCGACAAGCACGGGCACGCGTGGAGCGTCGCCCGGGCGATGGACCACGAGGCCGCGTCGAGGGTGATCGAGCCGGCCGTCGCGGCGCTCGACGAGGCAGGCATCTACATCGACATGGTCCACCCGGAGAGCGCGCCGGGCCAGTACGAGGTCGTGCTGCCCAAGGCGCCGGCGCTGCAGGCCGTGGACACCTTGCTCTTTGCGAGGGATGTCCTGTCCTCGCACGCGACGGCGGCCGGGTATAGGATGACGCTGCACCCCAAGCCGTTCGCGGCGGCGTGCGGGACGGCGGCGCACGTGCACATCTCGCTGCAGAGGGCGGGCAGCGACGACGAGGACGTGCCGGCGGAGGTCTACGAGCCGTTCTACGCGGGCGTGCTGGCTCACCTGCGGGCCATCGCCGCCTTCACGTACAGCAGCGCGGCGAGCTACGAGCGCGTGGTGGACGGCGTGTGGGCGGGCGGGACGTACATATCCTGGGGCGGGCAGAACCGCGAGACGCCGCTGCGCAAGATCGGGGGCAGCCACTGGGAGGTCAAGTGCATGGACGGCATCGCCAACCCGTACCTGGCGCTGGCGGCCGTCGTCTCGGCCGGGGTGGTGGGCGTCAGGGGGGGGAGGGAGCTGGCGTGGAGGGACTGCGGCACGAGGGCGCCGGCGGCGCTGACGCAGGGCGAGCGGGATGCGCTGGGCATCGTGAGCAGATTCCCGGCCAGCCTGGAGGACGCGCTGGACGCGCTCAGGTCGGATGGGGAGCTGGTGGGCGAGCTTGGGGCGGAGCTGGTGGAGAGGTATGTCGCCGTCAAAGAGGCCGAGCTGAGGCTGTTGACGGATATGGATGGGGAGACGAGGAAGAGATGGATCATGGAGAGGTACTGATTCGTGTTGAGCTGCGTGGGGGGTTTGTTAGTTCATAGACCATAGACAGCTGAGTTATGGATCAAGGCTGAATCATGTCGTCGGAGAATCATCTTGGAAAAGGTCTTTTCGCATTCCGAGGTGGTGCGAACGCGGACTGCGAGACTTTTGCCGCGACGAACCATGACCCCTCGGAGAATAATATCAATATTGCATCTTTATTGATAGACTAGACTGAAGAGAGCACGATGCCCATCGGCTACGGATTCGGTATGTAGTACTGGGAAAAACCTGCCAGAGGATGGGCCATGCACAGATTGACAGCGCTCGATATCGATGCTGAGTGAGCCCCATGCTGACCAACAGCGATCGACGGCTAGCTGGCTGCCACTCGTATAATTAAGCGTCGCATGGTTGGGATCGATAGTCTCATGCAGATGGGGCCATTTAGCTGGGCAAAGGTTCCCCCTTTCTGACATCTCGAAAAGACAGAGCAGAGGCACCAAGCCCTTTTCGTTGTAAGCGAGAGAGGGGAGAAGAGAGAAGAGAAAAGCCATCATCCGAGGAACGCCACTAAGCGCTTCCGGGCGAGCTGACGTGCAAAAATTGAGTTTTGACTGATTGATCGGGCGACGACGCTACGGCATGGCTTGGGAATGCTGGCCATGGTGATGAGTGTGATGAGTGGTGACGGCGAGCGGGAGTGGGTAGCTGATAGTGGAGAGCGGAGGGGAGGAGAGGAGAGGAGAGGAGCTGAAAGGCGCCGCAAAGAGGAAAGTAATGGTTGATGGGGAGGGAATAACACGGGCTGGCCGAGATGCAGCATGAGAGCGAGATGGACGACCCCAATCGGGACGACGGCGCGGTGATAGATCACATTGCACGGCACGTTGCTGAGCTGAGGCGGGCACGAAGTCGGATGAGGCAGCGTGGGATCAAGATCAGCGACAGTGCCGGCTCGCTCGCTTCGGAGCATGCAGATTCTTCCGTATTACCTGTTTAAACGCGTGGGGACAGGCGCCAGATGGGAGACGTCTGGGCCAGGGGGGAAATGCAGCACACAGATCGCGAGGTGCTAGAGCCATCGATGCGGCTGTTTCACGACAAGAAATGGATGATTAGACTCTGGCGCCGGGCGCACTGATAGGCCCGGTGCCTTTCAAGGCTGCGCCGAGCCTGCGGGTGTCTCCGCTCTGCTTCCAGGGCCTCCGGTAGGGCCTCTCGTTTGCCCCAGCCGACAGTCGGAACGCGCCAACCAGGCCCCAAACGAGTACATACACGTACAGTGCTTACTTGTCCGGTGATGAATGAGATGGCGGGTGGTATTGTGCTGGCTGCTGACTGCCTGTGGGTAGCATTCGCTGGGTTGGGTGCTGCAACCACCAGCCCCGGTAGGTACCTGCTTACAGTCCTGTTCGCTGCAAATTAATGCGCCTGCTGGCACCACCGGGAGTACTTCTCCGGCCAAGCCACTGAGCGTAGCAGCTGAGGTAGTTGCTTAGGCTGCCTGCTGGCTCCACAGCCAATTCCAACCCACCGTTGCGTGCGTTGCACAATACTAAGCGTTTTTGGCGGCAGTTGGCTTTTGCCTAAGGTTAGATGCTTGGCTTCAGAGATCTGCGACCATGTTCGTGTGTGGTGCAGAGATTGCCCATCACTCGAGGCAACCCACCTCCAGACGTGGTCCTTGCTGGATGTCTCGGCCGACCCGACCATATTGCACCCAGCCAACCAATGTAGGTAATGACAGGATATCTCTTCTCGACATGGCACGGCTCATACAGGCACACGGCTGCTCTGTAATAAGACGGATCGATCGGTCATCGAATAGCCCGTGGTCGAGAACGGTCTGGGCATAGGCGACAACCAGCGCTCCCTCCACTCCCCCTTCACCCTTTGAGCAAGGCGCCACTTTTCCCAGCGGTGCCCCCAGCACTGGCATCAGCGCAGGAGCCACTAGAGCCCGCCCTAGGATTCTCTCTCCATTTCCTGCAATGCAAAGGGCGACCGTCCCGATGTGCTGGGCTTGTCTGCCATCCATCCAGAGCATTGCAGATTGCTGCCAGATCCATCACACCCACGGCCTCGTCCTTTGAGTTTGCGCCCCGCCCTTTGCCATCCTCCAGCTCGGCCATTTTTCCCGGCCCCTTGCCTCTGCTCTGGCCTTGCTTCCAAAACCGCGACATCCCTCGAATAGGCTCGCTGTACCACCACCGACTTCCAGGTCAGGGTCCCACCCCCCACGATTTGCGCCTGCGACCAATTACCTCCTGCGAGCCGACTCCGTAAATCTTTCGATCAGCATCAAATACCCACCAAACGCCCCGACCTCAGCACCACCGAGCCTGCCTGGCACGAGCGACCGCACGACGATCATTGGGGAACCTCAGACGACGGGAGCCGACCATTTTCAACGTGGGAGACGCGGGAACGATGCATAGACAGGGCCAGACGCCAACCAACTTCCGACGATGAGGATCGCAATCCGCGAGCAGCTGGCCTTGCTTGTCTTGTTCACTGTTCTGGTGGCCCTCACTGTCGTCTCCGTCCCGACCTGGCTCTATGTCAACGACCACATCGCCAACAACCTGCGGACCGGCCTCTCGCTCACGGCCTCCCTCAAGGCCTCCCGAATCACGTCCGAGCTAGAACTCATCCAGAACAGCTGCTTGACGATATCCTCCAGGATCCTTCTCCAGGATGCGCTCCAAGATTTCTACGACAAGGGGGAGAAGAACTGGGCCAACGCCAAGGAGGATATTGATAGCGCCCTGAGCGTGGGCATGTCGACGGGCCTGCTGCAGGCCAGAATTTACTCGAGAAACACGACGGGGCCCGAGGATGGGGGACTCTTCAACGTCACCGCGAGCAATGTGCCCGAGGTCATCCTCCCTTACAAGGGCCCGGATGGCGAGCAGGTCACGTTGAACAATACGGATCTTGGCTATCCCCCTATGCTCTACCCGAATATCACATACATCAATCTCAATTATGGGAACCCCATCCGCCCAAACACGTCGGCCTACTCGGCCCAAGCATTCCCTGACATACCGATATCGAGGGACGGCGGTCTTCTGCTTGGTCCTTTGATCCTAAATGAAACGTCTGCTCTGATATCCATTTCCGTCGCCATCAGAGACAATACAGATCACTTCATTCTTGGCTACATGACAATCGTCGCGGTGGCCTCCTCCATCCTCCAGGTGCGAGATTCGCGTGAGGGGTTGGATGACAGTGGCATGGTTCTCATCGTCGGTCCTACAACCGAATGGAACCGCTTTCCAGCATCAACCCCGATGAGCAACGCCACGTACACGCCGAACAAGGAAGCGTTTGGCAGTGTACCCGTTCGCTTCGTCCTACCTCCCGCGTCTCAAGGTGACCAAGCGGATCGCCATTCCAACCATAATTTCACAAAGGGTACAAGCGACACGCCTTTCCCCGTCAAACTATACCCAGCCGTGCTCGATGCCTTGACCGACCATATACCAACCATAAACAACGCCAGCTCCATGCTCGACACACACAACGAGCAAGGCGTCGCCGTTGCTGTGGGCTATGCAAGGACCCAGACGGCACTTGCGAACTGGACTGTCATTGTCGAAAAGTCAAAGGGGGAGACATACCAGCCAATCAACACGCTCCGGAACATCCTCCTGGGGACTGTGTTCGGCACTGCAGGTTTCCTGACACTTCTCATCCTTCCCTGCGCTCACTTTGGCGTCCTACCCATCAGAAGGCTCAAGGCAGCTACCGAAAAGTCGATAAACCCCCCTGGATACGAGGAGTCGTTCATCGAGTCGGACTACGAAGAGGATTCGCCAGGGTCTGGCAGGATGGGATCGCAGAGATCTAAAAAGGGCGTATTAAAAACGTTTACACGCTTTCTAAAGGGCTTGCCTAATAGAACAGGCTCCGAGAGGGACGTTGCTCGGCGAATGTTCAAGATTCCCGGGAAAGTAGACGAGGGGAGACATTTCATCACCGACGAGCTTACAGAATTGACGAGCACGTTCAATGACATGAGCGATGAGTTGGTCAAACAGTACATGTCCTTGGAGGAGAAGGTTGCCGTTCGCACCAAGCAACTCAACGAGAGCAAGAAGGCAGCAGAGGCTGCCAACGAAAGCAAGACCCTATTTATCGCTAACATTTCCCACGAACTGAAGACACCCCTTAATGGAATTATGGGCATGTGCGCAGTCTGCATGGAAGAAACCGACATTAGTAGAATCAAGCAATCTTTGAAGACTCTGTACGAATCAGGCGACCTGCTATTACACCTATTAGAGGACCTTCTTAGCTTTTCAAAGAACCAAATCGGCCAGCAACTCACCGTCGAAGTCGGCCAGTTCCAATTAATAGATATCCGGGCACAGATTTTGTCTATTTTCGACAAACAGGTTCGCGAGGGGCAGATCGATTTCTCCGTCAACTTCCTCAACGCTCAAGAGCATGGAGATTCCTCTAACGGCTCGGTACATCAAGATTCTGAGCACAAGTCGCTACCAGCCGGCCTTCGCCTAGAAGAGGTTTCTCTGTGGGGAGATCAGCACCGTATACTTCAGGTGATCATCAATCTTGTCAACAACAGCTTGAAATTTACTCCTGTTAAGGGTAAGGTCGAGGTCCGCATACGATGCCTGGGCGAAGATCAACAAGCCAACGATGACGAAAGCCGGGCATCATCCATTTCGAAGTCAGTGTCCCGGAACTCGCGATCAGGCCGGATGCGCTATCGAGGCGGATCCGCCTCGGCTCAGTCAACGAGTTCTATGAACGGTAGCGCAAAGCAGTACATGCAAGGAGGGACAGCACTATCGATCAACCCCATGGACCCTAAGATGGGCTATGCTCATGTATCCGAGCGCTCGCCTACACCTCCACCTCAAGGCACCAAGGCCTACACTTTTGAGTTTGTCGTCCAGGACACTGGCCCAGGTATTCCACCGAGCATGCAGGAGAAAGTGTTCGAGCCGTTCGTCCAGGGAGATCTTGGGCTGAGCAGAAAATTTGGCGGAACTGGACTTGGTTTGAGTATCTGTCATCAACTCGCTGGTTTGATGGGTGGTTCCATTCATTTGGACAGTACGGAGGGTGTTGGCTCCACGTTCACTATGCTGATTCCCTTGAAGTGCGCTCGCAGCACGTAAGTCTTTCTAGTTGCCTACACGCCTTCTCAACTTATGTTCAGAGCTAACAACAGTATTCAGGAGACCCACATCCATGAGGTCCCCACGACACAGTACGGACGATCCAGAATCTCAGCGAAACTCGCACCATATCATGCCGACCGAGGGAAAGAACCCCAATGCCAATAACCTCAACCCGCAGCCGAGATTAGTCGGCCTCAGCCAGCCATACTTTTCGGTTGAGCTCCCCGGAGCCCAAGGTGGTGGTGTGATTCAAAGTCTCTCACGGAAAGGGGGTGGAAGCAAACTGCGTGTGCTTGTTGCCGACGACAATTCGACCAATATCGAGGTTGTTAGCCGCATGCTCAAACTCGAGGACGTCTCTGACGTGACTGTCGCCAAGGATGGCCAGGAAGCCTACGACTTGGTCAAGGGGACGATGGAACGAAACGAGCCATTTGATGTCATCTTTATGGACGTACAGATGCCCAACGTCGATGGCCTGCAGAGCACACGGTTAATTCGCGGAATCGGCTACAAGTCCCCAATCGTAGCCTTAACGGCCTTTTCGGAAGAGAGCAACGTCAAAGAGTGCATCAACTCGGGGATGGACGAGTTCCTTTCCAAACCAATCCGTCGACCCGCGCTGAAGCAAGTACTCAAGCGGTTCGCGACGATACCCGAAGAGACGGAGGGGCCACCCCGAAATGACGAAGTGTTGAACGAGAAGAAGCATCATTCAACCCTGAATGGGGAAATCACAGAATTACCGACACCACCAGCAACAACCGACGATAACGAAACGGAGCTTTTCAGCGGAGCCGCAGTCAACAAGGCGGAATAAAAAAGTTTAATACCATTTTGTTTTCCCTTTTATATTAGTCCATCATCAGCGCAACGAGGCCAATTTCCAGTGCCGTTTGTGTTGGGTTTTTTGTTATTGTATACATGGAGGGGGAACCAGCTGGCGTGCTAATAACTATCTTGTTTTTGCTCTTTCCCGGCGTTGGTCTGAAATGGGTTGCCTGTCTTCCACGTTCTAAAAATGAACGTGCCGATATCTCATTCTTTTTTTGCTTTTTCAGGCTTGGAGTTTTTTGCGCGCGTGGATCTCATGCATGGACTATACACACGATCGATAACCATCTCGGAGGGGAATGACGCTCCTATACCGTCTTGTCACCCTTTTCATCAAACTTTTAATTTCCTATTTGCATAGGCAGAGGAGGAGGGGGGGGGGNNGGATTGGGGGGGTTGTCGTCCATATATGTTTTAAACGCCCTTCCCCCCGCTATATCATATATATACATATTACACACACACATGATATATATTATATCTTGAAGAACTTCGCTTCCTCCTCTTTCTCGTCTCTCTTTTCATGTGTTGACCGGATAATGTATCAAGATTTAAGATGTCCCTCATTCTGGGTTGAGAAACGTTTCATGAAACTGTCATGATAGTGGATCGTGGAAAACCCCAAGATATCTATGTTACAAGGTAATGTACCTTAGAATTACAAGACTCAAGCTGAGCAAGGAGTTGCAGATGACAACTCAAGCTTGGTAATTAATTACATTATGGAGGCTGAAAGTAGAATCATAAACCGACAGCAGATGCACAATGAAAGAACTCAGGTTAAACAAGTTTTAAATTCTCGACGAAGCAAAAAAGTCATATTCGTATCGTTTTCATCAAGAGTACTTTAATCAACAGTAATTGCAAGTGCCGCCGGGCTCCGTCTCAAACCGAGCCCCGGTTCTCCCTATCCGCGTATCCCCTTGTTGAATTCCGGGCCTGGGAGCCATGTGTTTCATAAACCACCAATACCATTTCATCAGCAACCACGGTCCAAATTTCTCGTGGCACCCCGTAGGGAAACCCTAAAAGAAATACCGCGAAATCATAAAAAAGTGACCTGTTCCAAAATACGCAAAACAAAACAGCAATAAACCGATGAACTCTAGCGACGCTGTTTCCAGTCACTCTCACCGACCAGAAACCTGGTAACCTAGCGCCGCGCTCTTAAAATCACAAGGAAAATGCAGATCCAAGGGGGGAAAAAAAGGGGGAACTAAAGTAATTAGAGAAGCAAACAAAAGCAGAAAGGAAGCAAGGAAACAAAGTGCAGAGAGCCCGAGTAGCAATGATTAGCAGCGGCATTTGCCTAGTAGAGAACCAGAGCCAAGAAAAGCATCGTAGAAATAAGCTCGCCTGATTTGGATAGCTTCCACGGGATGCGTGAGACTAAGGCCAGACAGCCGAGAGCAGACGAGCATCAAAGCTGCAATCCGCGCGTTCTCGAGATGAGGTTGAATGCTTAGATCTCCATGTGGCTAGCAAAGTCCTCGCTCATCAGTCGGTGTCGGGTGTTGCCGTCATAGTTATCATACCCATCGTCATCGTCGTATTCAAAGTCTTCCATCGTGTCATCATCAGAAAACATAACTAGATCGCCGTCCTCCCGACGGTTCCAGACAAGACCATCGTCTTGTGCGACTTCATCATCTTCGTATGACGGTACTAGTGTTGCGTCTCTATTGCCAACCCAGTAGTCCGCTCTCTTGGATCCAGCCGTTTCGAAATTTACACCTCGGTTGAGTAACGACGATTTCGTGGGCTGAAGGTTTGGACTTTGCGACGAGGTGACAGGAACAACGCGAACATACAGGTACGCTACCCGCTTCAGGGCGCGGCTAAAAAAGAAGTAGTGCGAGGCCCAGATTGCACTCTCGTCCTCCTCGAAAGGATCAACTTCAGGGTGGTAGCTGAAGATAGTGCACTCGTTCAAGCGCATCTCCTTGTCTATCAGGGCCCAGCACTGAGGACCCCATCCCGAACCTACGTCACTGCCCACGGATGAATCAAAAGACTGCGGTTCAAACCCCGGGCGAACGTTTTGCAGAATTGAGTCCAAGTTCACCATGACTTGTCGCAGATTTCGCTCCCGCTTGAAGTCTCCAGGTCGCAGTACGTTGGAGAAATCATAGTGTGGGTGACTGGCGTTAAGAGTGGCGATGAGGTAGGCAAACGTCCGTCGGCTCGAAAGCTCCGAGAGGGGACCGAAGGCGCTTGAATGCGAGAACAGTTGCATGCTAGGTGAGGTAGCCAGCATCTGTTCGCGCTCCGGGGGGGACAAACTGGCCCCTAGCTTCAACAAGGCGGCATGTTGGGAGCTGAGGTCCTTGTCAATATTCTTGTATAGCTTTTTGTCCGAGCCCGTCGATTTAGTGGTGTAGAGGTCGCAACCGCCCGTAACGTTGCAATCCGGAGTATTGAAGTTCAGGGCGGATGTGACCGCCTCGAAATCTTGGACAGGTAAATACTAAATACAGACAACCCCCAGGTTAGCATGACAAAAGGAAGCGGGATACAGAAGCGATAGAATCAAGCGTGAGCCAGTGATGACGAACCTTCATCGTGCTTGGTGGAATACGATAGATGTGGTAGTGGATGCGAAATAGCGGGATGAACGATTAAGGCGTTGCAATGGAATCAATAATAAATTTGAAAATTGCGTGTATCGACAGTGCCTTATGCGTCCCCTTCATTAAGAGTGACGTAGCGGTGGGTTGACACTGCGATGGAAAGAAGGTGATGTTGGCGTGAAGAGGAGAGGCCCGATCGCGGATGGAGCGTGGGCAGCTGACGTTGTCGGGAGATAGCGGAGGCTGTGGAGTATTTGGATTTGGCGCGCGCCGGGCGAGATTGGATGGGATTGAGCTGCGGCAAGTGTGATTGCATGAGAGGAAAGAGCAAACGATGTCGCCGAGTCGGCAGTGTCGAGGACAGGTGTCGCGGCCGTTGCGACAGCAGAGCGGGGGTCGGCTACGTAAATTGTGAAGTGTCCGGCACGATGTCTGTCGCGGTCAAGTCAATCACGGTGAGTGTGATGACGTGCGGTGAACAGATAGGACCCTGGAGGCTGAGTTCGAGATGTGGGGAACGAGTGCCAGACGGTGAAGTCTAGCAGGACCTGGGGTCGGCGGACATTGCTATGGTAAGATGCTGGATCTGGGAGCGGTTGGTGTAGATGGAGGAGGGAAAAGGGCTGATGCGAATCGCTTCCCGCTGAGATGAACTCAGCTGGACGGGAGGGCAGCAGGGGGGGGTGGCTTGAAGTATGAAAGCAAGCATAGCCAAGGCGGCGGGGAGCCAAGGCGTGCTGACTTGGGCTCTGCTAGGACTGGAACTTGGATGGGGGCTATCCGTAATCCATGGGGGAGAGGGGCTTCAGAGAAGTGGAGGGACGCTCGCGGGAGAAGGGGCCCGTCCGCGAATCGGGAGCCGGGAAGAAACAAGCTGCAGCATTGCTGGCGGAACCAAAGTTAGGGGTTAGGGGCAAAGGCAATTGGACCCATGGCCACACAACCAACAGATGCTGCTGCTTGTCGAGGCCTGGAATCCAAACGCCCACGCAAACAGGTCGCTTTGTGGCTGCTGGGTCGTCGTGGCTCATTTGTCCACTCATGCCCTCCTTCCAAGATGCGTGTGTTAGCCCGCGGCTGCGGATTGGCTAAGCTTTCAGTCTGGAACGCTTTCGAGGTGGTGCCAAACTCTGGTGCGGTGCCAATGACGAATCGCGACGCACCTTGTCTGCACGAGCTGACATGCGCCTCCAGCATTGTCGCTGCACCCACTGAGACCCGATCCTGGCCAGCTTCTGTCGAGGTCTCATGACCCAGCGTCTCTGCATGTGCGTGGAGGAAAGAGGAACGGACGGTTAGCGACTTCCTGTATTCGTAAGAGCTTGCTTCGTCATTCACGGCTCGGCTCACTCGTAGTAGAGCCGACGGGATTGGGCTAGAAAGAGGTTATTTCTGACCGATTCCATAAATGATAAAAAAAAGTAATGCTTTGTCTCTTGATATTAAAGAAGGTGGTTTGTCCACCTTCAAGGATCTATAAACAGAGCCGAGTAGGCCGCCTTTTGCTCCCAAACACCGGACGCCTCGATGGCTCGCTGCGACTTGAAATGACTTGCCCGTTTCTAGGTCGGCCCATCATCCTACGTTCGGTAGATGACGCTCATCATGGTCGCAGTTCTTGAATTCCTTTCGTCATACCAGGCCCACGTCTTTGAGGCGATCTGTGATCTCGTCGGATTGCTGTGGAGTTTCAACAGTCAACTTGCAGTCCCACGCAGTATGGCGCACGTGTATCTCGAATTCACTCAGGCAATGCTCTCCAAGGGCCATGGCATGTCCCAAGTACTATGTGGGGTGATGCGAATGTTCCGCAAGGCAGCTGCTACATAAGCTTGGTGACCTCGTCTTCGACCTGTTTCGTCCCACACATTAGTCGTCTCCCCTACCTCCAAGTCGAAGAAATAGGCCAAAGCAGGAGTGTGTTTGCAGAGGTGTTCGCAGAGATCACATATCATGCAGGGGGATTCTTCCATCGGGCATCTTTTCACACTTACCTCCATATCCTCGAGTGAATCCTGCTGCCCTATACAGCGGAGAACGTTCTTCTTGCTACTCTCCTGAAGCTCGCCGGCGAGCAGGAGCTCGTCCAGAATATAATAGGCCTTCGTGAAGGAGAAGATGATGTCGAGTTCGCACACGTTGCCGTAGTACTTGTCCATCTGTTCGACGTATCTGTGGATGATTTCGAGGGTGATAAGTTCGTTGTCCTCGGAGGAGCAGCCGGCGATGAAGAATAAGGAGGCGTATCGTCGGTACACAATCTTGGTGTCTGCTGAGAATGAGCACATGTTTCACGCTATGGCTCCAAGTACCAGCCGACCTTTATATTCAATGAAGTTGCACATGCGTGTCCGTCGTGCCAAGACCAGCTGCGAGACGTCTTTGACGATCTTGGCCTTGTCCTTGGGCGAGAGGG